ACATAGAAGGGTGACTCATGCGGCGACGCAGTTTGCAAACTGAAAAAGAATCTAGTAACGTTGGCTGCCCCGGCGCGCGCGGACGCGCAGCTGGCGTCTGCGCTCCTCCGCTAGACCCGCTAGCCCGCTGAGCCACTTAGCTATCACTCTCTAATATACTGACTCTACAGGAAGCACTCCCTATAGGTCTCATTCATTAAAACTCGTAACCGCCCATGTGCCGCCATAATGAATTACCCAGCTTGTAGGTGACATCTCATTCGCATACGCCACTGCACGCTTTTAAACAAGAAAGAGTTTTATGCCGGGGTCCACAACGACTTCGTGACGTGTTTCCGTCATATATATGATGTACAACATTTCGAAACATATTGCTAAGAAAAAAAGTGGCAGCTAGATCCCACGTACTGTAGGAATCGACGGTATGCGTAACACGAGTGAGGAAAGTAGTTATGTCCCCTTAAAATGAGAAAAACGTTACGAGGCGGACGTAAATTACGCCGTACATGACTTCCACGCCATGATTACTATGTTTAGACGTGTCATTTACCTTTATCGCTTATTCACGTGACATCACCTATAGAGCTTGTGAAACGGCCGAAAACACTATGAGCGGGGTACATTGGCATGTTCTTACATGACACGCATGTCGTGGCTATCATGTTTGCACCGGTCATATACCTTAGTCATTCAATGACGTCACGTAACACCAAGTTTTGTATATGGAAAGGTAACGAAACGGCCATGTGCGCATCATGAGTGCGGCTTGTAGTCATGTTGTTACATGACAAGCATCTCATAATTAGCATGTTTGCACTAGTCATCTACCTTCGTCCTCCTTTTCCGTGCTCAATACCAAATTTGGTATATGTGAAGCTAGTGAAATGACCGCGAGAGCACCCTGAGCGTGGCGCGCCGTCAGAACTAACATAAAACGCATGCCATGATTTGCACGTTAGGGCATGCCACTTACGTTCGCCGTGCATTCTTGTCATATCATAGCAGTTTTCCTAAATGTCATGTAAACAAAACCACCACAAAAGCAGCAATACAATAAAATGTCAGTCATGACATTGATGACATACATGTCATAATTTTCATAACAAGACTATTCATTTATGCTCGAAAAACAGTCATTCTATGCCACACCAATCTTAGTATTGATACTATAATCGAAAGTGCCAGGACAGCTAAAAGTCTAAGGCCGCTAGATAGACAGATAAATAGATAGATAGATAGATAGATAGATAGATAGATAGATAGATAGATAGATAGATAGATAGATAGATAGATTACACTCACACTTCCCGAAGTTCGTCAAGAAATGCTTCAGGTTTAAAAACTAGAAGGAAAAGTTCCACAGTGGGGCGTCCAACCGGCGACCTCACGCTCCTCAGAATCCAACGCTCAACAAATAGCCACCGAGTGACCCTACTTCAACATGCTAATAGCAAAACCACGGCTGCTGGATGAAAAAGCGCACGGTGCGCTCTGTCATCCAGCGGCCGTGGCAAGACATTTATAACCTCCATACACCGGTGGTGGTTCTCGGAGCTCGGCATTTCAGCGCCTTTTTGTCATCAGTAACGCGGTGGTACGACAAGCGTTCGCTGTGCACACGCGCTCTAAAGGTTGTTGTGCTGGGTCACCTCACGCGTCTATGTTTTCATGTGCCTACACATGGTGTGGTCAAAGTGCGTATAGATGTCATCTAGCGTAGTGCCTCGCGCGCGCGCGCGCGCTTATCTCGGTATTCGGGTGCTCTGTATTTCTTGTGCTTCCTCCGCAAGCTTGCTTTGAAGTTACAGTAGTTAAAGGGAGCAAGAAAGTTACTTCGCTCACTGCCACAGCCACTTTTACGAAAAGATCACGCTGCTCATACACGAACGCGTACGAATTGCATCTTTTTTGCGCCCGTCGTGGTGTATACTTGAGTCTTCGCTTCGTGCGGCCTTTTCATCTGTTTGAGTAGCGTGGTTTAAGTGTAGAGCTGTGACAGTTCTTTGTCGCGCTCCTCCTGTGTATGCTCTTTTCGGACATTCTGTATCTTTTGTGCTTCCACCACAAGTTTGCTTTGAAGTAACAGTAGTCAAAGAGAGCTCGGACATCACTTCGCTCGCTGCCACGGCCACTTTCACGAAAAGAGTGTGCTGCTCACTCACTGAGACGTAAGAATTGCAGCTTTTGTTCACGCTCGTCGAGGTGTATACTCCTGCACTCGTTTTGTACGTCTTTTTTTCTGTTCCAGCAGTGTGTTTAGGTGTAGATCTGTGACAGTTGTTTGTCCGAGCTCACCCTGTGTATGCTCCTTTCGTGTGTACTCTCTCCTTGAGGTGTGCACTCTAAGTTTCCAACTGCTTGCTTGTCTTCGCGTTTTTCGCGTGACTGCAGCTTGAATTCATTAACCCTTCTGTCGTATCAATGCACAGTTAATGCTCAACTCTACCTATGAGCTCACGTTTCACTTTCGTATTATACCGATTGCTAAAAAGGAAAATCAACCACTTTTTTGTCTATTGGCTCTCTCTTTCATCTCTATAAGAGACTGCCACATAATGTGTAGTTAATGTCTAATGGAAAGAAAAACCATGGACTACAAGACAATATAATTAATACGATGCGTAAACGATCCGACGCAATTGGCAGCACGGCCACGCTTTCAAGTGTTGCCAGGATCATAGACTTTCCTATGAGTACAATAGACGAAACTCTGGCACTAGTTTTATATGAGAGCTGCACCGCAATGCATTTCAGCCAGCATGGCAATGATGGAAAGTACACAAATGTCTCCACGCTCCGTTCTTTTGGGTCCGTTCGGCTTCGTGTCGCCTATAGCTTTCTTGTGATGAGAGCTCAATCAGCAAATGTTCAGCTCTTGCACTTCACCACCTTAAAAGACACCTGACGCCAAATTTGGAAGCCCGAGTGCTTGTGTTGTTTGAGAGTTCTGTATGCGGGGGCACTTCTCACCGTGACAAGCATTGCTTAGAAAATATTTTAGGTAGCATGGTGCAATAATACTTTAGGTGAGCTAACGCCGGGACTATCAGGTGCCCGATAATGTTCTGCTTCGCAATGAGTCTGAGAGATGGCGCTGCAAACTTTGCCCCTGGCTCCCCTCTTTCCTCTTATTGTAGCAAAGCCCCGTACGTGGGAAAGTAGTGGCGCTCATTTATCGTTGCCACAACATCATCGCCTCACTGTCAACCTCCTTCCTTATCATCCCCTCTTTCGCGGCGTCACTTTATGCGTGTCGCGTGGTTGTTATCACGAAATACCCTGTTTTTTCATATTTGAAAACCGTCGCCACGTGCTTGGTGTGATTTGCGGAGTTTTCCAGCAGCCTCCCACGGTCCTCAGTCCGGCGAGCCATCTATCGGCCTTCCGCAAACGAGAACATAATCGGTCCCTCCCCGCTAAGCGCTCGCTAAGCCACGTTAACTCACCTAAAGTATTCTTGCACCATGGTTTAAAGGAAGAGTGAGTGCTTTTCTGATTATTCAGGTTCAATCAACATTTTCTCTGCTTTGACCTATAGACACACTCTAAGGCAAAATTACCCAAAAAAGGAGCAACGGAGCCCATCATGCGCGTGCGCTCAACGGGCAGACCGTTGAGGAGCAACCACAGAGGGAAGCTTGCTGCGTGAAACCACTCTCCAAACACGCTCCAAAGCGATGAACCGCCCGGGGATCGCAGGCAGCACGATAAGCGTTGCCAAGGTGACCAACCCACCTTCTCTTTCTCTGCTGGCTCAGTCTTTCCCCGTGTTTTGCCGGCGATGGTTCGCGTTGCGTCGCGCTCGGAGTGCTCGACCATGAGTGCCTGGATTCGACGATCTAAGAAGTACGACGTGGTGTTTGTGTGTACGCTTAGATGAGCGTGGGCCGCTGCTTTTGCGTTTCACTGCACCCATGAAGTCTGCAGCAAGTCTCGACACGTGACCACGCTGCGCTTTCATCTCCGGCTTCAAGATAGTCACGACCAACACACGACAGCAACAGTTGGGGCGGGCAATATGGCGGCCGAGAAGACAACAGGCCTATCGAATATATACTTCAGTCCGACTCAGGGCAGAAACCAGCGCTATATTCTAAGGCAAGTAGGTTATTCTTTATTCTACTCGTCGCGTATGCGATACGGATCGCACTTGCCGGGAACGGGCTCCGTCGTGTTGCATATTGCACACACGAAATACATCGCGAAGGTCAGCTTCGGCGTCTGTAGTTCGCCTGTGCTTTGCGACCACCTGGAAATCGGCCGCCATTGCCGTCGGCCTGGCCGCCATTGCCATCGAGTGCTCGCTTGTCTTCGCCGCCACGATGAGCTCCGGGCGGACGATATTGGGCTGGTACCTCATCGCTGTGTTGGGGGTCGTCGAAAACACGTTGAGGGTTGTCGTAAAGAGCTTGGTTGTAGTATGTCGCGCGCTGTAAGTGCACCAGCACGGGCTGGCGGCGCTTTCGCTAGCGTCGGAACTCACTGAAAGTTGGTCGCCATTGCAGTTGGCTTTTCCGTCAGTCGGTCGCAAGCAGCTCGGCGCCGTCCATTGGCCGCGGCGGCGGACTTGCGTTTGCGCGCTGCACTCGCTCGAGTTTGTGGAAAAAGGCCGCATTACCGTCGATTTCTTCGGCGCTAGCTCCAAACCGGCACGGCGCTGTTCGTGGCTGCGGCCAAGCGTACGCTCGCTCTCTTGCTCGAAGTTCACTGACGGCAGACCCTACGCGTGTAGCACCGTGTTTGGTCTCGCGTTCGCTTGATCGAGCTGAATGACGTCGCTCTCCTAGGAATCGCCGACTTGTTAGCGGCATGGCGGTTCGCGGAGTTGTGACTGCAGCCGCCGCTCCTAAGCTGTTGCGCTATGGGGATCGAAATGAATCTTCGACAATGTGTGACATCGCGGTGAAATTATTAGCATGTCATATCTCACGTATGTTTTCGTTTCACCTTGCACGTATTTCTCATATGCATTTGTACTCATCCTCTGTCACGTGTGACTCCCTATTTTACACACTTTTTGTGCAGCTGTGGGCACACACCATGCTGAAGACTGTGTGCGCTGGCGTCTGCGATGCCTGTCTTCCACCTATTTTGTCAGAGGAGCTTCAGAAGGACTGTGCGAGATGTGAAGGTAAAGTTATTTGTGTGTCATATTTTACACGCGTGTTTTTATATTAACGTGCGCGTACTTGTCATATGCGTGCATCATCATCATCTGTCACGTGTGTCTGTCTATTTTTAATATACAATTGTACCTGCAGCCGTGGGAAGACAACCGGCCGAAGGCTGCGTGCGCTGGCGTCTGCAATGCCTGTCATGTATCGCTTCCATCGGGGGAGCTCCACAAGAAGTGAACAAGATGTGACAACGAGACTGGACTTGTACACTTTACCATGAATTCGCTTAGCACAATGAAGAAACTTCATTTGTATGTAAAAAAAAGATTTTGATGTTTCACAATTGTCTTTCGTTGTTGTCATGACTGCGAAAGCAGTTACACTTAGGTGGCTAACTACTTGTTCGCTTGTTCTTTTCTGCGGAATTTGTTGCTCAGTGCGCCGAAAAACAGGCGAAAAAGTATTAGGCCTGGCGGAAAATAAACAAAAAACAATGTCAGAACTGGGGACAATAAGTTCATGCGATTGAAGTATTAGAGTGGGTCAACCGTTAGTCCGGCAAGGTGCAACTGTGAGGACTAATGGTTGCCTGGTAAGGTGTAATTCTTCAGACTAACAGTTGCCCTATAAGGTGCAAATGTGAGCGCTAAGTGTGAGTCCCTTCAGCTCGTCGATGAGGACTAACTGTTAGACCCGGTGGGGTTAGTCCATAAAGGGATTAATGGTTGTCGCATCCCCATTAGTCCCCAAAAGGACGAAGCACACACCCTTTTAACACCCTTTTGCCTTAGAGTGCAGTGGCCACATAGTGGCGTTGCAGAAGTCAAGCAATTATTGTAGGCATCAGCGAACATTTGCGGAGCGCCCACAATTTCCTGAATGGTACCTGGCAAGGACTGATGTCCGTCACCCCTCTTGCTCTCAACGTTGTTTCGGCTGCTTACGCCAGTATTCATTTTATTTTTTATTTTTTTATTATGAGGGTCTCAAAGCACCCACACTGATTCTTCGCCCCTGCTGGTTGCCTTGTTTTAAAGTAGTGCGTTCAGCATCATCGAAGCTTGAGCCAAGGCCTCCAAAATTAGCCGGTGGCACGAAGTTGCTACGGCCGTCCCATTTGCACGCAAAAGCCGTAATCATAGGAAGCGGGATAACTACTCCCGCTGCTGCACTGCGCATGCGCCCCATGGCTCACAAAGCGACGCAGACACGCACGTATAGAGAGAGCTTGGCAAAAGCTGCCTGGGGTCTGTACGACGCGTAAGAGAAAATTTTAACACACAAAGGTGTGAACCTAAAGCAAATTATTGCTTACTGGCGTAGTTAGGCTACTACTTGTTTAATAATGACGTATACTTAGGAATTCTGTAAAGATCTGTTATTTTCGTCATTTTCAGTCTTGGAAAATTGTAGGCTCACGAACCAGCCATTCCGCATTTTTAGCTCTTACGACACCTAAGTAAATAACTGACGCATGTTTATCAATCAGAAATAGCAAATTTTGTGATGCTGATGGTTACGAAATTGCACCTGAAATATAAGCAATAGATGCCATCACTCCGACCATGACACACATCGACAATCTTGTTTCAACTTGTAGTACTTTTACAAAAAGTCTCATGGTTACTAAATTTTGAGTGTTGCATAAAGGTCGGAATAAAAAGGCTGTAAATATAAACCATTAACAATCTTACTAATTTTTAAAACCACTTCAAAGGATAATTCACGGCCGTATGACATCCTTTATAACTACACATGCATGTGTGGCAAATATGCAATTTCCATTTGCGAAAGCTTAGTCTACATAAACTGTCCTTCTAACACAAAAAGAAATATTATTTGAATCTTTCGAACCTGAGCGATGTACAGGGTCATCTACTCTTGGTACGAACACGGTGCATCATGGCCACGTAAAGCCCCCCATCTTTGCTTTGGAGGTGCGGACTCCTTGTGGCACAGTGAATCTGTTTTGGCGGATAGGAACTTGTCTTTTCGTACGCACTATGCAGTTAAATATTTTTTCATCTGAGAATGACGTTGCTGTTCGTTGCCGTGGGTGGTTGTTGCGTCTTCTGCTGCCAGACCAAGACTAGTGACGGCCGAGAGCTTTTTTTGATACCGCCCGTTAAGCGCAACGTGTTGCGACAACATGTTGCATGGTTACATTGAGTTGAAAGCGAGGGCTTCAGGCCGGTATTTTCGAATCCACTCTGCGAAGCAAGTTGCGCATCTCCTATTATCAGTATAGCTCAATGTTCCCTCAATTCAGTGCTGGCTCTGACGCTGTAGACAAGTCGCAGTTAATTGTGCAGGACGTCACGATCCCTCTCACACAGGTTTCATTACCGCTTTTGAGGGGGCTTTCTTTTCTGTCGAGAATTCATGCTTACGTGATCTGCTTGTCGTTATGCGTCGACTGATTTGAGTCCACGGTACTTGTTTGTGCGCTTAGCATGTAGATCTAAAATGCTCCAAATTGTGATTGCAAAACTTCGGAGATTTCGCGTTGCTGTTTTGAATAAACAAAAGTGGAGTGCAGCAACTAACGTTACTCTCCGCTCGTTTTTGTTACGTGCTCGTATATTTCACAGTGAACTGATCTCTGTGACTATTTTATATTGACCGATCAGCCCGGGACTCGCGATGAGAAGTCCACTATGCAAAGCGTGCTGTCTTCGAGTCAGTGGGTGTGTGCACCGTTTAGGAATCTCACACATACGTGTCATTTCGCGTAATACTTCATTTGCTCTTTTGTGTGAAGGTTTATATCTGCGAGTGGAGCTCTTGCGAAGTAATCACGTATGGTGGCATGCTAGTTCATACATACGCTGGCTCATTCTTTAGGCATATGATTCGTATGTGAGATACGTCCACAAGGCGCCCTTCCGAAATATGAGTGGTGCGTCTAACCAGTTCACGAAACAACCACAATTGTTCGAATGTATCAACTGTGCGCCTTCTGACACATTATTAAGGCCATAGATGCCGCACCAAACAATAAATTGGCCGTCCGCGGTATCGTTGTTCCACGCCGACAGCGTCACTGTAAGTTGTTGCTTCCATTGTATAGGTCACTGTGAATGTGCTTTGCACATATTGTATACCCTGTAACCGGCAAGCTTGAATCACCGGTGCGCGGAGTAAGAAGACCGTCACAATATCCCTTCGGATGCTATCGCGCCAGCTAACAGGAAAGTAAGCAATAGCAGCCGCACATTAACGTTTCAGTGATGTTATTTACAGCTTGAAACTTATACAGAGACGTGCTTATTGATGGGCTAAGAAATAAGGGGGGTTCTCAATAACGATCACATTTTTACGTTTAAGACCATACATACCAAGGGGTGTGTCACAGAGATCAATTCACAGTTTACATCCAGTCACTGCGACGCCGAGTGACTCAATCAAGGCCTGATCTCAAGTACTCATTGCGTGTGGCACTAAGCATAGCTCCGATGGGCTAACGCTACACTCGTTAAGATATTTTTTGAATGAGTTAGACGGCTCGCGCAAATGCTTTCAGTGCGCTGCCTTCCGAGCAAGCGCCCTCTTTGCGAAAGGGCGTCTAATACACATGAGCAAGGCAGGTGGCGCCACGTTCAAAATGCAAGTGCGAAGGAGAGGAGACCGAAGAGAAACGCGAGCAGAAGAGGAGAGCGTCGGCACTTTGCGAAGTTCTAGGGGCTGCATGGCGGCGCTCCATGGGGCGCCAGCGCACACGGTGCGGCCGCGCATATATGCTAATCGGTGCAGGCGCTGAATGGCCCGATCTCCTATGATACGTCTGTGCGTCCTGTTCTCTTTGCTGTGAAACACGCCTTACTATGAGCATGCCAGTAGCGATTGATATTTTCGCGACGGCTTTGTGTGAAAGCACACTGCGCTTGTTTTGTGTTATTCTTCTTAAGTGCAACTGGGTTGTCCCTGTTTTCATTAACACAACCCTTTTTTACATTCATTTTCGCAAATAGCTCAGCATTTCTTCGGTATAAAGGATTCAATAGCGCAAGGCAACTCCGCATAAATGAGAGGCAGTTTGGAGTATGGCTCTGGATAATTTAGAGTAGTGCCCCTCACCTGTGGTAGCATCGAGAAACACAAACTTTGACTTCTCGGGGTAAGTCAACGTGGAGAAAGCTTGCCTTAGCCGATACTCAATAACTTGCCATTAAATTCAAGTGGAAAGAGCATTCAACCTAAATTCAATGCCCATATTGTGTGCTTGCTGCAGAGGAAAAAATTACGATGAGTAGAAGAACGTCTTCTGGCTTAAGCATATAAAAACGATTTGACCATTTTTCTCCTCTCTCTACGAGGCACATGGTTTGGAAAGCGATTGCAGCCTGACAAAGGCGTCGTCAGCAGTAGCCGTATGGGCAAACCCATGACAGCATGAAACAGAATTTCTTCGAAGCCGCCTCGAGAAGGCATAATGCGAATACCACTGAGTGTACTCGCTACTTTAGAATGCGTTTCGAAATTTCCAGGATAGTCTCAAAATTAGATCTCGTACGTTATGCGTAGCCAAAAATGGAGGGACCTCGCATTGTGTTAGTGTTGGAAGGCCCTTGTGATGCCCGACAGGATTCCGTGGAGACATCATCATCATCAGCCAGACTACGTCCACTGCAGGACAAAGGTCTCTCCAATGCTCCGCCAGTCAACTTGGTCCTGTGCATGCTGCTGCCAATTTATACCCGCAAACTACTTAATCTCATCTGCCCACCTAACCTTCTGTCTCCCACTAACCCTCTTGCCTTCTCCAGGAATCCAGTTAGTTACCCTTATTGACCAGCGGTTATCCTGTCTACGCGCTACATGCCCAGCCCTTGTCCATTTCCTCTTTTTGATTTCAACTATGATATACTTAACTCGGGTTTGTTCCCTAATGCACTCTGTTCTCTTCTTGTTTTTTTAATGTTGCACCTACCATTTTCTTTTCCATTTGTCGCTGCGTCGTCCTCAATTTAAGCTAAACCCTCTTTGTAAGTCTCCAGGTTTTTCCTCCGTAGATAAGTACCGGTAAGATGCCGCTTTTGTATACCTTCCTCTTGAGGGATAGTGGCAATCTACCTGTCATGTTTTGAGAGTGCTTGCCAAACGTGCTCCACTCCATTCTTATTCTTCTAGTTACTTCAATCTTGTGGTTCCGCTCCACGGTTATTACCTGTATTAAGTAGACATATAGAGTCTTTTGCAACTTCAACTGCACTATTACCTATCTCGAAGCGCTGCTCTCTTCCGAGGTTGTTGTACATTACTTTCGTATTCTGCGGATTAATTTTAAGACCTACCTTTCTGCTTTTGCTGTGTAACTTCGTAATCATAGTTACAATTCGTCCC